ACAGGAGCTCTGGTGGCGTAGTGCCTAAGGCATTTGACGGCTAACCAGAAGGCTGGCAGTTGAAACCCACCAGCCACTCCTCGGTAGAAAGACTAGGCATTCTACTTCTGTAGTGATACTGCCTCGGAAACCCAAGGAGGGGTCGCCGTGAGTCAGGTCCGACTCGACGGCAGTGAGTTTTTTTTACTTGCCTAATGGTTGTCCAGTCTCTTCTCGGGACTGAAGGGGCCGATCCCCTCGCAGCTCGCACCATCTGTTTGCATCGTGGACGTTTTCTGCTGCCAGGGGTCAGCTTCCCTGGGCAGGAGGAACAGGCTTCTCCAGTGGACTGGGTGACTGTGACCTAGAGCCCAGGCCAGCGGCTCCCAGGCTGCTGCTGTCTTTGCCTCCCTTTGCACAGACCCGATGCCAGCGGCCACGTCAGGACACTCGTTTCGTCACAGCAGGGCTCGTGGGTGGTGGTGTTTCATGAGCCCCCTGTTACTCAGCTACAGGGACCTCATGGGTGAGTTTTGGCTCACGGTTGAGAGAGCATCTTGGGGCAGGAGTCTCAGGGAGTCCTCCGGTTTCGACCGGTCCAGTAGGTCTGGACGTTTGAGAATTTGAGCTTCCGGTCCACATTTTTCACCCATTGTGCCAGGATCTGTGTGTTACGGCCCTGATCAGAGTGGTAGTGGCAGCCAGGCCCTTCTAGTTCTGGCCTTAGGAGGAGGCCGTGGTTTGTGCAGACTGCTGGCCTTACAGGCTCCTTTCTTCTCTGTCTTTGGTTTCCTTTGCTCTGTTTTGTTTCAGACGAGTGGAGACCAACAGTCACTTGCTAGCTGGCCACTTGGAAGATTTTAAAACACCAGACACTATTCACCAAGGGGGGGCAGAGGGCAGAATTTATGAATTGTATTGCCAGTTGGCCGAGATATCCCACACGACTATGGTCCTAATCATTCAGACCCAGAACACCAGTCCTGCGAGGTGTTTGGTCGTGTCTAAGAAGTACCCATGACTGTGTCCCTGTGTGCTTTGTTACGTGTGTGAACATATATGTGTTTTATTACATACTTGAATGTATGCACCCTGGTGCATCTTGTATATATGTGCACACACGCTTACATACGTACACAACTGTACACAGTGTTTCATTATGTACTCAAGTATGTGTACACGTTTATATATATAGATGCACACGTGTGCACACACGTGTACACACATACACGTGTGCACACACATATACATATGGAACCACACGTGGGCCTTCTGGGTGTTACTGTCCTTGCAGAGTTATCTCTGTCAGTGTTTACTAGCAATGCCCTTTTCCTTGTGTCTCAGTGACATTGACCTTGTTCAAGTGGTGACCTTCACCCACACACTGTACATGTCTTTCTTTCTTTTTTTTTTAATTTAATTTTATTGTGGTTTGGGTGAAGATTTACAGAGCAAATTCACTTTCCATACAGCAGTTCACATATACTTTGTCTCATGTCATTGACCACAGTTTACAATGC